CCCCACACCTTCCCCAAGGGCACCCAGGTCATCTCCAGGAACCAGGTCCGCCTGGCCGAGGTCTGGATGGACGACTACAAGGAGATCTTCTACAGGAGGAACCAGCAAGCGGCTCAGATGGCCAGAGAGGTACCGGGCACGCCGGCGGCTTCGGCTTCTCCTGGGGGGGCCTGAGCCAGCCCGGAGCTCAGGGCTGAGCAGAGGGAGGAGGTGGGCTCAGCCTGGGGTGGGAAAGCAAACGCAGGTGGAAAGATGGAGCCAAAAAGCTATTCGATTTTTTTTTTTTTTTTTTTTAATTTGGCCATAATGGTTTCTAGTAGAAAAACACAGATTTTTTTTTTTTTTTTAATTATTTTTACATCAAAACGTTGCGCAGTGCCACGGCTGCACATCCCAGCGCTCTCAGCGAGCGGTGGGTGCCTGAGACCAGGGTGTCTCGCAAAGACTCCGCCACTGGTCCCAGTCCTGGGCACACCGGGGTGGACCCTTTGGCTCTGAGCCCTGGCTCGGGAGGGATTTTTGATTTTTTCCTTGCTGGCTTCGGAGGTTAGTTTAATTTTCTCACGTGACTTTGTCAATAGAAGACGTATGGTGACATTACAGACCGGCGCAAGCTGAGGGAGCAGCTCCACTGCAAGAACTTCACCTGGTACCTCCAGACCATCTACCCAGAGATGTTTGTTCCCGACCTCACTCCAACTTTTTATGGAGCGGTAAGTACGGGGGTGCCCGGAGCATCCGCTGGGCTCAGCCCTTGGCTAGAAATAGGCCCGGCGGCGACGGCGCCCAAAGGGCTTTTTGGGGTTTTTGTGTTTAACCTGGTGTGCTGGGGGGTTTTGGTCCAGCCGTGTCTGTCACCGCATCCGTCACCGGCCGGCAGGGCCGGTTTGGGCTCCGGCTGACGGTGAAGGCACTGGAATCCAGCAGAGCTGGTTTGGGGCGAGTTATGGGGTGGGGGACCCACGGGGACGTGGCATTGGGTTGAATCGGGCGAAAGAGCTGAAAGCTTCCAGGAGCACCGTGCCGGCGTCGGCACGCAGGGGGTGGAC